ATACACAGACACCGTGTATCCATTCCTGAGACAAGGCAGCCTGCTGCAAAACGGAAGTTCTGCAGAGCATGAGAACAGATACAGATTTAAAAGGAAGAGCAGCAAAGAGAAGGGAAACTACCATGGATTACAGTAAGGCACACATTACAGTATTTTTATGTTAAAAAATCTGAGGGTTTAATGTCACTTTAAACCTACATGTTCCTTGCATGATAATAATTTTAGATATTTTTTACATTGAAAAAACCCAATTTGTTTAAAATTTACACAGCTGCCGTCTTCAAAAACTCAAAAGTTTAGAAAATTGGAAGTGTGTAACAGTATTATATTGCTGAATTTGAATACCTATCATGTTTATTGGACAACCATGCACTGGCAAATGGACCCACACTAGTCTCTCTGGCACTAAGTTAAAAGGAAACCTGTAGTGAGAGAATATGGAGGCTTCCATTTATAACCCTTCCTAGTTACCTGGTGTTTATGTAGTTAGGGGCTTTATTACATTATAAGCCACTGGCTTGCTAGTAGGTCTGTTCTGACTTCACTTTTTGATCTGCATGTCTGCTCCAGATTAGTAACTTGAAGTGGAACTAAACCCACCGATTTTTAACACTTCTAAAGGAAAGCTCAAGTTCGTAATGTTATTAAACCCTTAAACATGCCAATGTTTTCTTCATGGTTTGTTTTGACATTCTGCCTAGTAGTCTATGCACAGGGTAAGCTACATCCAAGGCATGCCTCCAGTGATCTGACAGTTGTCAGTGTGCTTATGTCCGCTTTCAGACAAACTTTCAAGCCCTAAACGGCTATGTCCTAGGTGTTCACATGTGCCTTACTGCAGATCTAAATAGAGGCTAAGATGGTGCCAACCTTGGTAGATGGAATAGACTGGTTTAGTCCTGCAGTAAAGAAGCCTAAGACAGCCAGGCAACTAGCATAGGGAATTGGCAATGGCAGCCTCCATATTTATGTCAGCTTGGGTTCCATTTGAGTTCTTTCAGTATGGAGTCTTTTAAAACTTTTTTTTTTAAACAAATTACCCAATGTTTGTTTGTATTTATCCCCCCTTCCCCTGACATTTTATCCCTACTCCTTCATTTAGCCCTCAGTATTGCATCTTTGTTTTTGTTTTCAGGAAGACAATTTCCCCAGATCTTTGCATTTTTCTTGAATATTTTTTTAATCTCAACCAAAATGTGAATCCAAATTTGGGGTTTATTAATCATTTTTATGTGTGTAGTGTATTTGGATTATAAAGCAGGTTACATTCCCACTGGCCAGCCTTATCCATTACTGTTTCAGAGAATGTAATTGGCAGGACTTCCTGGTAATCTTGTTCCAGTTATCAGATTTTTATTTTTTCTTTACATTGATCAGATTTTCTGCTCCTATAGCAAAAAAACAAAACAAAAAAAAGCCCTGCATGCTTACTGTATTCTTTCAGGTGACAAAATGCCTTACACCTCTTCCTTACTGAAGATTGTCTGCTAAATCATGTGGCTGGATGATTGAGGAAGGGCATTTTGGGAAATGAAGAAATCTTCACCTACTTGGCTTCCCTAACCTTTGAGCCATTGGCTCGTTTGCTATGGAAGGCTTAGGTGTGTTATGATCCTTTTATTGTCAGTTGGGTATTGCCAATTGGTGACCAGCAAGTAGATGGTGTCATGACCTTAAATGGCCTCTTCTTAAATCTGAAAATCTGACCTTTTAGAAATCAATTTGAATTTGGGACTCAAATTTAATAACCCATAGCTGCCAGGTGGAAAGAGGATGGCATTTGACTCCCCTGTTTTTTTTTGTTTTACTTTTTTTAACCGCCTCGGTGTTGCCTGTCTGCGCCGGCCATTGTTGCATTGTAAGCAATACTGTTTGATGCACTGCCACCCTCTATTGTCTGTCCAGTGTTTCGAATCTCCAGTGGGGAAGAGGAAAAGAAGCATGACTGTTAGTACTTCTCAGGACCCATCTTTCTCAGGATTAAACCAGGTCTGAAAACTGTCTCCTATTCCAACTTCCACCCCAAATTCATGTGCTTTTCTTATCCTTGGTTTTTCCCTTATCCTTATTTTAACCAAACAAACCAGGCCTTGCACAAGCACCTCTTATGTTGGCATTATTCAGACATACTTGGCAAACATGTAACATTACTAAGAAATTTTCTTGGCCTTTTCTTTACTCAATGCTGAATGTTTGCGTACCTTTTTTGATTTCCATTGGTTTTGCTTTTTTTTTTTTGTGCAATTAGCATAAGAGCATGCTTCTGGGATGAGGAAACTGTAAAACATTTTACATCCTTGTTAGGACTCCTAAAGCCACCATGTACTTTGGAGCATCGTGCCAGTATCTTAGTCCCTCTGGCACAGTTGCATTTGTTGTAATATGTAATCTTATTTGAATGCATTTGTGTACTTTCAGATTATGATGTTTTTCAGCTGTATATCCCAGCAGAACATTTTCCACGACTCCATATATACCTGTTAGCTTTGTGTTTTTTTGTTTTGCCCATCATTTTAGTAAGTTTGTATAGTAGTTTGAACTGTGTACATCCCTTGAACAGTGATGTTGAATGTTGACGCACAATGATATTGTGCGTTTAGATTTTTCAATAAAATGGTGGATGGATTTTGGTTTCATGGTTTCTGGCAGTTGGTCTTTAGCCTATTTATAAGTTGTAAGTTGTTTTGGCTGACCATTTGCGATAAGGCTGTAGTTTTATACATGTTGTTCATTGATCCATGGACTGCTTAATGTTTGAGCCGTGAAGAGCTCATGTTTAGACTTGGGGTGTCTTGTATTGTTCATTTTACTGCCATGGTGCTGTATGTATTAAGGTTGTACTGCTGCTACTCAATACTAGCATTTGGTAATCTCACCCTAAACCCTCAATGGATGAAAGCCAAGCTGCATGGTTTTCTCCTTTTGTCAGTTCCTATCCTTGGCAGCTTGTAGGAAATTTCTGTGGTCAGACTGTTTAAGTCAGAAAATTGTCCTGGTTTTTTGTATGTTGCGTGAGTAAGAATGCAGCATAAGCTTAGTCTTTGCATGTCTGTGCATGTTCTTGATGTTGGCACAAGTCTAGGGTTTAGGAACTTGATGCATGAAACATTTGTGTAGGGACTTGCTGCCACATTTTGTCTCACTGAACGACAACTTTAAGTATACATTTTTTATTACTGTTTTTAATTTGAATGTGAAAATGACCATTCTTTAGTCTTTTCAGTTGAGCAGGTCGCATGGTTACAAACCAATTGCGATCAGTACAAAAAACTAGTTGTTGCTTCCTAGTATCTGATCTCATTTTAGACCTGATTTAGTAAATGGTCTTTACAAATGATTTGCAGTTTCTAGTGGCACATGCATGGGCATATTGGACGTTTCTGTGTTGCCTACGTGTCTTTATGCCTGACCGTTTATTTTGGTGAAAGTGTTTCCTACATGAGCCAAGTGTTTGTTTACTGTAGCTTTTAATTTATTATGTCTTTTTCAATTTGGTGAAATCGTTTTTATGCATATATTAGTCACTAACCTGCTAAATGTAAAGCATTTAAATCTTGCCTTCCAATGACTGAAAAATCTGGTGGCATAATTTGTTATTATTTTGACTGTTGTGTTGTGATCAGAGCATGTTAAATTTTTTTTAATGATTTTGATTTGTGCAAATGATCATATTCTAACACTTTTTTTTAAATATTTTTCTTCACAAGTTATTCCTTATAGACTTTGGTTTGGCCAAAAAGTACAGAGACAACAGAACAAGACAACACATACCATACAGAGAAGACAAAAACTTGACTGGCACGGCCCGCTACGCTAGTATCAATGCCCACTTAGGAATTGAGCAGAGGTAATGGAATGTCAGTTAAATAATCGGATATTTTTGGCTTTCAAGAGTTTAATGAAAGATCACACACTCCCTGGGACTAAATGGCACAAATATTTGTGTACTAGGTACCCCAGTATCTGCACGCAGTTTGTATGTTTATCTTGGTTTTGGCTTTTTTTATTTTTTTAATATCCTTTTTCCAAAAACATACTATTTGATTAACGTGCTTCGATTAACGTGCTTCTGGCCAGTTAAACCAGATGTGGGCTTTTTCATTGTAAGCTCCTGTCATGCCAAGACAAATCTGAATATTTTCTCTACAATGCTATATAAATATGGGAGATAGGTTTCCATTTAATGCTAATTAAGAGCCTGTAATGTGTAGTTATCAGTACTGGGGAATGTATAGGATCTAGGGAAAAAATTGCAAGGATGTTAGCAATGAGTGCAATGGCAGTGAATTACAGATCAAAAATCCAGTAAGAGGCTATGGGAGTTCTGTTGAGGACTAGTCGATACCATGAGGATTACATTATTGGCTTTATTGGATTATTGCAACCTTTGTGATATTTGTGGGGGGGGGGGGGGGTTCCACCAATTTAGATAATGAAAAAAATTCACCAAGTTAGATCACGTTGGGAAATGTGAGGCTAGCTTTAATCAAGTGTGGACCAGTTTGGGCCTCATTCAGTTTAAATATTTAACTACAAAATATAATCTGGATGTTTGTTATTGTAAGGAATAGTGTCTACAGACATGCCCATGCAGATTTGGTTGACTTTGTTTTTCAAAGTTTGTCTACCTTTGCAGACAAATTTGAAACCCCCCACCCCTCACTATATAAAACAACCCTTTTCCTACCTTTTCTAGTTTCTTAGGGACAGATTGGCTTAGAAGTTAACATACACAATGATTTATATTGTTTGGACAGACGGTCCTGCACCTTTAGTCTACAGCTAATTTGCCAGCACTGTCCAGACTGGGTAAATTATGGCAATCATTAACTACTCAGCCCCCTCAACATTATGTAGAAGCAGAGAACTTCAGTTTCAGACAAGCAAATAAGCATCCATTTTTAACTCTTAAGCTTTGCCACTGGGAACATATAACCTATAAAATAGGTGTTAACCCAGTTTGGCTGCTGAAGTGGAAATGCACCTTAAAGTGGAACTAGACCCACCATTTTTACTGTCGCCCCAAACAGGTTACTTTCATGGCATGCCAAATTCCAAGATTGCAATTGTGTTTATTTTGGCTCTCTAAAGTTTCACTTTCAAGCTATCAATGTGCATTATCAGGGCAACTGCAATCTAAACAGAGGCTATGGTGGCACCTTTCTTGGCTGTAAAGGATAGTTCTGCATTAAGACTTATTTTTCTTGTCATGCAGAGTAAAATAAGGCTAATCAGAGTATGTATAAAATGCAAAATGAACAAATAAGTTTCCAGTACATCGTTGATTAGGTAGACAATCAGTAAGCCCAGTGAGACTCTATTTTTCTTAAAAGAAAATTGGGCAAACTCATTGGTTTGCTATTATTTGAAGAATTATGTTGACCGAAGGTGTTAACCTATATGGCCACTTTAGTTGATGTGACAGCAACAGTTCTTCATACTTTTACTCAATCTAATTTTCATTGACTTCAGTTGTGACTGGGAAGGATTTTCCTGAATCTGGGTGGGGATTGGCGGTGTACTGGATGTTTGATAGTCCAAAAGCTCATGAAATAGGCTTACAGATGTTTAATGCTTTTCCAATATTGGTGTATTATGGTTTTGGGATGTTCACTTCTAACATTTGATACAACTTAAATTTAGACTACTCGTGTTTGACTTCTGTCTTATGTATCTGAGCAATCACCTTGGCTCATTGGTAACCTTAAACATTTTACAGTAGATGCTGAAAAGTTTTAGGATACAGTTTACAATTTAGTAGGCTGGCAGCACTGTGCCAAATGTCATTGTAAATGTGCTTACCCAAGAATTGTCCTCTTATTGTGTGTTTCCTTTTTCAGTCGTCGTGATGATATGGAGTCTCTAGGATATGTACTAATGTATTTCAACAGAACTAGCCTTCCTTGGCAAGGGCTGAAGGTAGGTCATGTCATATTTTGCAGGTAACCTCACAGGTGGATGAAGCAGCGTCTTCAGCTATCTGATTTATAGATCTATGGTTATCTACAGTATATGAAATGGTCATTAGGAGCGAAGGACAAGTTTTAGAAATGGTGTAGCTAATGCTTTAATTTACACTTGGTAGAACCGCTGTTCCAAAAAAAAGATCTCATGCTTTTTTTTTTTCTTTGTGCATATTTCTTTGTGTATATGTGTATATATATATATATATTTTTAATTTGACCGCCCTTGTTTTGTTAGGTGAACAACTACTCACAAGCGGTTCATTTATGAAATCTAAAATGAAGCAGGGCCCAATGTTTTTTTTTTTTTGTTTTCTGCATTGAAGGACACAAAAGAATAATATATGTGCTCTGCCTGCTGCAGTTTTTGGGTACAGCTTCCAAAGTTCAGTTCCTCTGTAATAGTATTAAGGTGTATCTTTGGGCAAGTAATAAATGCAGCCCTGTTGGACTAAGGCCTCGTACACACCTGGGCGTTTTACAGCGCGTTCCTACGTGCTGTAAAACGATCAACATGTGAAAACCAATGATTGCCTATGGGCATGGTTCCCACCTGTACTTCTTTGGGTGTAGGGCGTTTTGCAGCGCTGTAAAACGCCCTACACCCAAAGAAGTACAGGAGCTTCATTGGGGCGTATTTGCCGCACATATCCATTAGGATACAGCTGGATAGCCCTCGGAAACGCGTGTTCGTCGCACGTTTCTTTTATCGCAAATTACAGGACACGAAACGCGCGGCAATTGCGCATATTCCGTACGCCTGGGTGTGAACCCAGCCTAAAGATCTTGCTGTATCCTCTCCACATCTCACTCCTTGTTTACACACATCCTGGGAGCTGCCTTGGAGTCTAGCACAGGATCAGTGGCTTTTGAATATTAACTTTTTAGTGCCAGGATGGTTGTTTTTTTTATGCCTTTCCAGCAAAACACTGTTGCTGCCTTGACTCAAGAACCTGTCCATGCAGTGTTGGCAAATGTATTTATGGGCAGGTGCACCTAGCAACTGATGTAGGGGTGTTGTGCCAGTTCCTCCTGCAAGACCTTTACATGTGTGGTAATGACCTCACAGGATGTAATTAAAGAAAATATGATGTTGGGACATGTTCTAGAGGGTGGATTGGGGGGTAAATGTGGATCATGCCTGAAAATCAGTTTTAAATAGTCTAAGCATGTTTCTACTGAGTTTTTTTTTTTTTTTTTTTTTTTTTTTTTTTTGCTTTTGTCAAATATATAAAATGATTTGTTCCACAGGCAGCAACCAAGAAACAGAAGTATGAAAAGATCAGTGAAAAGAAGATGTCCACTCCTGTTGAAGTTTTGTGCAAGGTAAACGTGCAGCTTTTTAAAAATGTTACTGCAGTAAAGCCGTCTGCATTTAACATATGCCTTTTTATCGTAATTGGTCTACACCCAAAAACTTTTCAGACACTCTCTTCTAAATGTGTGCTGCATTAAGGTGGCCATACACTCTACAACCATGGCAAGAACTTAGTCTTGCCATGGTTGTAAAGTACTTAAAAAAACGTACGATCTGCCCATCTTGCCTTGAGGGGCGGGCTTGCGATGACTGCAATGAGGGGTGGGCTTGCGTGGACGGCAAACGGGCAGTGTGCGCGTGCGCACACCGGCCCGTTCGTCAGTTGTCGAACAAGCAGGCCACTAACTCGCCGAGAATCGTACGATTCTCGGCGGGTTTTCTAGCCTGCTGGTTCGACGGAAGACGTGCGACAGTACAGTAGAAACGGTCGCACGCCTTCCATACACTGCACGATTCTCGTACGATCGCGGGATTTCCCGCGATTCTCGTACGAGAATCGTGCAATGTATGGGCACCTTTTACTTTAATTTAATTTGACTGTGGAGATCTCTAATAGTCATCTGAATGTTGGCTGACAACCTTTCTCAATTCTTTGCACAGGGATTTCCTGCAGAGTTTGCCATGTATCTCAATTACTGTCGTGGATTGCGCTTTGAGGAGGCACCAGATTATATGTATCTAAGGCAGCTCTTTCGAATTCTGTTCAGGTTCGTGTTTTTTATTTGTATTTTAAAATGTAACCATTGATGGAAATGTATAATGGTGGTTGGTTGTTGAGAAAAGCTGTGGGACTTGTAACAACTAATCTGTATCTGGTTTCATTATCTGCTGTCCCAGAGGAACTGTCTGTGCTTTATGCAGGGTTACCTAGTGACCAGATTCATGATTATTCTCTACAGTGCCTGACAACTGATATGTTCAAACTAGAGACTGAGAGGGCATGCACTTGGCTTATTTTCCAAAGCATTTGTAAATGCATTGGAGATGCTTAAATTATACATTTCTGATCCTACCACTCTCCATCATCTGAAATATTAATGTTGACCTGCCATGCTTGACGATTTTACATTGTGTATGTGCTTTTTTTCAGAACCTTGAACCATCAGTACGACTACACATTTGACTGGACAATGCTCAAGCAGAAGGCAGCTCAGCAAGCAGCCTCCTCCAGTGGGCAGGGCCAGCAAGCCCAAACCCCCACAGGCAAGCAAACTGACAAATCCAAGAGTAACTTGAAAGGTTAGTAGCCAAGAGCCAAGAGACGTTTCAGGGAAACAGTAAATTTATTAGGGAAAACGAGACACAATTAAAATACTCATAACTGAGAGAGCGTTAGTTCGAGGAGGTGTTATGAAACCAATTCGGCTTATTTAAGAAAAAAAAGTTTAAAAAAAAAGACGTCCTTGGAAAATTTGACTACTAACTTTAAATTCAGATTTTCTTATATGTGTATCTATTATGGCAATCTCTCATCTTTTGGGATTATGGGTCATCTAAACTGCACCTCTTTCGCACATAACTCCCTTTTCCAATTGTGGTAACCAGTTGCTGGTGGCGTGAATGTGAAGCCGTCTTCTTGGTTCACATTCCTGGACCTAACACATAAAGGAATACTGGGAGTTCAAGCTTCCCTCTTATAAACTCTGCAGCTACCTTCCGACCCCCCCCTAGTCCCTCTGATGGAAAAGGGATTTGTTGCCTAGTTCAGGTCCCTTTTGGCATCTTGTTGGTAAAGAAATGGTGATGGTCTTTTCTACAAAAATCTCAGGAAAATTGTGACAGCTTTTTTTAGATGTTCATGTTCTGTACAGTTTTAATGATCAAATGTTGCTAAAACCAACACATAGATAACATGTTGAAGGAATCTGTCAGAATTGAAAATAAGAGCTTTTATTGCTGAATTCTTTATTTTGACGGTTCAAGTTCCAGGGTGTTCAGTTTAGTCACTGAATTGCTGTGATATCTTCTATGTGTACAGGCTTGGCCCAGAAAGTGTGGAAAGCATATGCTGCTTCAAAAACAAGTCAGCATTGATGGCTTTGATTTTGACAGGGTCTTCTGAGCAAGCATACATGGACTAAGTGTTGCGTGGTCTTGGCAGTTACTGTGGCCTGGTTCAGGAGCCTAGGCTACCGAGACCTGTATAACATGCAATGGAAAAGCAGCCAAGCGTGATGACCTCTTTAAAGGGTGCTGGCACTTTTATTAAAAGTACATTTAATGTTTCTCCCAAGCCCTCCTGACCCCGCCAGGTGCAGCCCCCCCCCCCCCGAGTAGAACAGCCTTGACCCTTTTTACATCCACTAGCTGGAATCTTCCTTGTTGCTGGCTGCACCTGAGAGTCTTTAGTAGGTCCATTAGCCTCTCAAGTCTTAAGGTGCCCATACACCTTACGATTATCGGACAAAACTTTTTGTCCGATCGAATAGTCGTACGATTTTCGTACGGCAGCCCCATCCTGCCCCAATCGCAAGATTAATTTAGCCGTAATTAACGAAAAGCACCTGGACGAAATGTGGTAATTGATTTGCAGTATTTTTGTTAGTGCAAGCGCAGTGTAGATCGTACGACTTTTGACGGACGGAAACGCCAGCAACCTTACGACAATCGTACGATCGAGCAGAGTTTTCAAACATGCTTGACCGTCAAAAAGTCGTACGATTGTACAGTACTGTCGGTCGGACACTGCAATGCACACATACGATCATCGGCCGAAAAAGTCGATTGCGTACGATAATCGTAAGGTGTATGGGCACCTTTTAGGAGCGTCCAGCAGTGAGCAGGGCTTTAGCTGGTGGTTGAAAACATAGGAGTAGGCCACCGTTGCACTACTTGGTAGTTTAAGTTCGGAAGACAAGGTAGATTGGCTAGGCATGTTATAGTGGAAGTGCCTTTACCTAGAAGTTACACTTCATTCCCCTTGGGGCCCGCTGGTGCTCTTTGTAAGGTGGGTTACATTTTAGTTTTACATTTACTGATGATATTGAAGGGCTCACTTTCATCATTTCTGCAGGCTGTTTTCATACTATGTTTTTGGAATTACAACCCCCTTTGATTGCTGCACATGTATACATAGTCTGTCACAATTTTTCTAATTAAGAATTTGGTGGCTTTTGTTTTTTTCTTTTCTTTTGGCCAGTAATTGGCCCCATTTGAAAAAGATGTTGCTACTCAAACATGGCGTTGTTAAAATGTGTATTTCCTGAGCAAGACCAAGATATGAACTCCAGATTTCTTCATTCTTCTTCACAACTGTATTTGTTAATTCCAGGCCATGGATGATTATGACCTTGGACATCTTTATTAAACATGTTGCTGTTTACAGGTTTACACTGCTGGCAAACTTCAGTGAAGCTCTCCGCACACAGGGAGCATGCGGAAATCTGACCGGGGCTGGAGATTATGCAGGATGGGGCAAAACCAATCCCAACGGGATTCACTAGGGCAACTCTAAATGGCCTGGAAACATACATTTGGTCTACAACTCTTAAAGGGGCTGTAAGCCTGTTTATGTAGTCAAATGTGCTTCAGATTTTTTTTTAAAAATGCTTCACATTGTCTTTTTTTTTATGGGGGGGTGGGGGGGTGTTGAGTTTAGTGCAGAGACCTTTTTTTTTCTGAACTGCTAAACTGAGCCCCAATGTCAGGAGTGTTTTCAGAATGCATATTGTAACAACAACTCTCAGTATTTTGGCAGGTTATATGATTTCTGCGATGGCAAAGTGGACACACATTGTGGAGAAGGAGGAATTGTTTTTGCCAATTGAGCAGCAGATCATTGGGGCTGTGATCATTATTTACCCCTACCACAATCCCCTTTTCATATAAGTGCTGGGTCTAAATCCAGAAAGATGTCTTCTGGCACCAACATCTTTTCTCTGATAGTTTGCATATATCTTCTTGCCTGGATCAATTAACTAGTTAATTAAAAACTATCCTCCTATAAAGAATTAGCAAAGTCAGTGTTACCAAAGCAGTCATGATTCATTACTCAGAGTAAATCACATCTTTTGAAATAAATGGATTAGACGCTGGCTAGTTAGACTAATAACTCATGCTGCTAATAAAAAATAATTTGATGCTTTCCAGGAGATATTTGCTGTGGCTCCACCTTTGCTGCACCATATGGTGATTTGTCTGCTGATGTTGGTGAGAGTATCCTAGCTACTTTGTTTTGTTGGCTCTCGTGTCTTATGTATGCAGACAATGCTCCCCTTTCTATTATTGATGCAGAGAAAATGTACCTACTGGCAACCTGCTAATCTACTAACAGGGTTGCTGTATATTCCTGCTGTATAAATACTTCGCCTTGGGGATCAATTTTAGTAGTTTGTAGCATTAAAAACTGCAGGAGCATGTGACTTAAAAGTAATTCTATATCAGCTCCACTTTGCTGCAGTGGCCCTCAAGAGGATTTGCTTGTTTTTCACGCCCTCCCTCAGCCACTCGCTTATACCACAGTGCTTCTGTGTAAATTGTGACGTGGTTGAATCTTACACAGGCTATGTACACTCTTTACAGTAAAGTAAACCTGATGCTTTACCCAGCATGGTTTCCTGATTTTTTTTCTGTTTTTTTTTTAAATACAGAAGTAGCAGCATGGCCATTTGAAGTTTGGGAGCTTCTTCCTAGCTCCTTCCTTCCAAGTTGGGGAGCTTCTTCTTAGCCTAGTTTGTGATTTCATGGACAGTTGAAACTACCTAGATGTTACATTAAATTGACACCCAGAAGTTAAAAGAACTATGGGGTAACCTTTTTTTCCCCCCATAGTTCTCTTAGGATCATGGGAGGACATATACTAATAACCTCCCGTGACCCAAAACTTGGTATGTAGCGAGCTATTGCCTGCTATATGCTGAGAGCAATGCAGCCGGGACGGATCCTGAAACTGTGGAGATCCACCCCGCTGGTTGACAGTGGGCTCTGTCCATCTAGAGGCAGAGTCATCTATGTCTGCGTCCTGGCGGTCACCACTCTGCGGGGAGATCGAGAAGTGAGCGAGCAGTGGTATGTTTTCGCTGACTTTCCGATCAATGCAGCTGAATGTGACACTTTCAAAGTCGCACGTTGGCTCTAACTTTGAGGATGAGTGTAATTCACTCACCCCATAGTTCTCCTTTAAATCTTAAAAATGTATTCAAATACCTGGACTATTACTAAAAATCATCTCTGAATTGGTGCTGACACTCCCTTCTGGAGGGTGGCTACTTTTGTTCCCTGTGGTCCCTGTGTGTGTTGTAAAGTAGTCGCCACTCTAAGCCCGCTCCCGTGATGGATTACAATTTCAATACAATGTCTCAATCTCAATTACAATACAGTAAACTAAATGTGAGATTGTAGTGCTCCATGGGAGTCAGCACCTATTCAGAGATGATTTGAGGATCTACAGCTGAGTGATACACAAAAGATACATTTTTGTTAATGGTAAAGGTACTTGAATGTGTTTTTAATGTGCAACTTCGGAATTTAGTGTCACTTTAATGAATTTGGTGGCTATAGTGTGTAACCATTGCCTACTACTAGGTCATAGATCTGGTTTAATGCTGGCCATTGCATGCTGAAAATGCTTGGTGAAGTACTTTAAAGGAACTCTTGTCACAAAGCTAAACGGCTATTTCAGAAACATTTTATATGGGCTGCCGTTCTCTCCCTTACAAGCTATATTCTAGCTCTGGGGCATTGAAGGTCATCACGCTGAGCATCACAGCAGATGTTGCTGCTATGTAACCTATGTGTGGCCTTGGAGTAAGAAAGCAGCTGCTTCCAGTGGATGCTTTTCACACTGGAATTTTGGCTTGGTTGCAGTTTACCTAAAAGCCAATGACATGGAGTGCGGTAAATCATAGCCTTAAGGTGCTTTTTCTACAGCACATTGCACCTCTTCGTTTCTCTAGCTTACAAAATATGCCTTTTTAGTATAGTTTTTTTTTTTGTTCACTTGCTAGCATTTCTGAAATGTCTGTCCTACAGTACATGTTTAACAACGCAACCATGAAATGGTTTATTGACTTGGTCCCTGTTCTGTGAAGCTCCTATACCTTGCCTGTTCACCAACACGCACGATCTTCCTCACAATTCAGTTTTGGTCTTGCTTGTGATATTCATTTGTCATGTTTTTTTTATTTTACCTCCAATGAAATAGTAAAACTGTTCCTTTTTTCCAACAGGATTTTGAATTAAAAAATAAAAGGAGCTGACATCGCAGATCCTGGCACGAGCTGGACCCATCACTCCCTTAAAACCTAGAGATTTTTAGTTCATATGTACACTTGACAGTTGTTGTGGGAGACCATTTACTTGGTGTAATACGGAACTTAATTTCAGTCTAAACTGGCTACTAGCGGCGTCTGATGTGCCGACTTTGTAGCTGCTGTTAATAATTGTGAATATCACTAAGAATAGTGAAACATGGTGTCCAGTTTTTTTATTGCTATTTTTCTCCCTCATGAAAGAGTGGGACAGGTGGTTCATTTATCTGGCGGTTGACAGTGGTGGAAGAAATTGTGCATATGCCAATTTGTTTTGTTTTTTTTTTTTCCTATGGTTAACCTCTTGAACCTTAACACAGCTTACTTCTGTTACTTTAGAAGAGCAACTGTGAAGTGGTTTCCTAGAGACAGTTGCGACGACCCTTGTCTAAAAAAACACAGCTCTCCATTGTTCCTTCCTAAATACTATTTTTTTTTAAGTTGTACACTTAAACATTCTTAGCCGTTGCACTGTTTGGCCTACCTGTTGTACACATGGGTATTCCTGCAGTAAATGAGTAACTAGACATTTACTTTTCCAAATGTTTGTCACTTTGTATGGTTGTTATGGCGACCACATGGCTCCAGGTTATTAGGACCTTACTGGCGCAGCAGATTCTCTTTTGTGGAGAATGTTTTGGATATCACAAATTACATCCACAGCAAGCTGCCAATTCTTGATAATCTGAAACCATTAAACGTCCCTAATTTAACCAAAGATTGCAATTTTAAGCAGATCGTATGACTGAGCTTTTCCTTGTTTTTAAATAAAAGGATGACTCCTTCATTGCAGACTTGAAAACAAAAATTAAATTCTAGTCTTTAGGAAATGGAAAAATAACTTGTACAAAGCAAGCTGCAGCATTTTTGTTTGTCACAAATCTCGTTAACATCCTAAAACTTAAAAGCTTGTTTAAGTGGCTTAGAAAATGTAATCACTGTAAACATGATCTGGGATATCTTTGTTTTTATTTTGAACTATTTTTGTTTGTTTACAAGTTCATTAAAAACTAAAAAAAAATCCAGTTTCTGTACATAGACCAGGTTTTTTTTCTTGGGTACATTCTCAAATTATCTAGGAGTTCAACACATAAGATGTTTAATTGCATGAGAATAACCTCTTATTGACAGTTTCTTTGTTTCAATACAAGTCCATTTGTCATGAAGAAGTCAAGCTCACGCTGCTAAGCTGTTAAATATCTTCTGTATCTTAGGCTTAAAGGGCCAGTCCACCCAAGTGAGTTAGATGAGCCGCTGGATCGTTTTGTTTTTTTTTCCTCTCTCGGACGCCATCAGCAAGATCTTCCTGCCACAGAGCCTCATTCCTTTTACATCCTCTGCAATGTGAAATAAATAACAGGTGCTCACATTCTGGAGAGGTCATGAGAAGTCTCTGGACAGTTTAATCCTGGCATCTGATCTTTGGGTGGATTGAGCTTTTAAAAAGTGAGTTTTCTCTTTGGTTCTGACTGTTAATGTATATGCATTCTCACTATAACTGGAGTTGGGCTGGTTCTATACAATTCAGGGTTCTTTCACGTGACACAATTTCACAACAGCATTTTTTAGCGCTCCCGAGAGAGAGATATTATATAGATATAATCTAATCATATATAAAGCATTTAGCCTGTTCCGGCATTCATTTTAACACAGTAGTTGTATAATGCTTTATGTGCAGCCCCTGGATACTACTGTCACTTTATTTATGGGTGTCACAGGCTTTACATCATATGAACATCGGGTATGTATACATTGATGCTTCACATGTACCATTCACCAGATTATACAGCCTGCACAGCAAATTTTGGGTGATTTAAGGCAATATGCTTGGCTATTCTGGTCTAGGGCTGGACAGAAAATCCTTCTTGCTATATCAATTCATGCTCTTTGTATATTGCCAATGACTCCTGTGTTGGCTCACTACATTTCCCTTTGCAGTGACAGATACTGAAGCATTCTGAATGTGAACTGAGGATAGACCTGTGTTCACAAACCTACAACACATGTGAAAAGGTTTATGCTTCAGTTACCAAGTATAATGGAATGTAAGTGCTCTAACTTGCCCAGTTAAAAAAAAAATCATTTTAGCCTATGTTAAAGTGTGAGACTGTTTTTATTCCTCTGGATGTCTTTTCCAAGAAGCAGTGGCTTTCGGACCTGGCCCGCTGGAGTGTTCAATCTGGGAGACGCGCATTATGCATGTAACTACTTTTTAGACCTGTTCTGCAAGAACTGCTGAACTTTTGGAACATTATAGTGACCCAAATATATGCCGAAGAGCAGTTCTTTTGACCAGCTAGCCTGGTTACTATCTTTTTGTTCCTATGCCCAGCTCAGATTAATAAAGATCAGAATTATGGTAATTCAGCTGTGGAATCTATTTATTTTACTATGTCTTGAGCATTCTAATTTGTAGTGCTATCGCATTAAAGCAACTTATTCAGTTGTTGAAATAGCAGAATGTTTGAAGTTTACATTGGGATGAAATTGAAAGTGTATGTACAATAAATGCCTAATTTTAGTTTTGGATAGAGTATTGAAGGTTGGAACTCCCTTTTCTGTGGGGGGTTTTTTTACGCGGGGTGGGGGGCTTTTCTGCAACGTGAACTCCCCCTTTGGATTTTTCTCCCTTCCAGTCTTGGTCAGACATTGGTCATCAGGACAAATAGTGAATCTGCCCAGGGTTAATGGGGATTCTTAACCTTCTCTCTCAATCTACAAACTCAAACTACAGTACAAAAAAGGTTCTGGCTTTACTTTAGCAGGTAATATTGCACTTGAGCAGTGAAATCTTTTTGCAATGTACTAAAGCATGTTAAAGTGAAATTCCATGTGTTAACCATTTATACACTGCATTTTTAAACTTCATGGCAGATCCTTGTGTATGGTCTTAATTTTTATTTTATTTTTTAGATAAGATCAGTACATCAATCTTATTAATGTGCTGTCTTTTTAACTTTGTTTCAGTGTTTAATTTGTATAATATACTGTATGTATAGGGCAGCCATATACACATCTGCTTTGCACTGTTACGCATTGTCTGTGCTTTATTTCTTGTTTTCACAATGCAATCAGGCAATCCATTTCTAACGTACAGTGCGCCTGATTTCTTTTTGCCGGAAAGGTTTCCTTTTTAAAAGTTGAATCATCGTGCTAAGCCACTGAAAGCTCCCTGTAGTGGCATATCTATTTCAAGCACCTCCCGTCCATGGCCGTTCCTGAACGGTAGGACAGGAGTGTTGTAGTAGTGGGAGGGCGTCTTAATTTTGAAGCTTGACATGTTTGTCTATTTCCCCAACATGACCCCGTCCTTATATTTTACCAAATAATTGGGTTGATAAATGTTTAATAACATTTTCTTAGGGGTAGTTTTTTTGTTTTGTTTTTTTTTTACAAAATTTAGGGTACTTTTTTTTTTTTTTTTGTTGAATAGTTAAAAATGGCGTGGCCAGGAAGGGGGTGTAACACCCTGGTCTTCAAGTGGTTAACATGAAAGAGCAAACTTGATGATTGTGAGGTAAGCACTGCATCCCAAAACATGGGCTCACTAAAAATACGTACCTTCTCTTATAAGGATTTTCTGTAAAATTTGCAATAGGCCATTTCATTGCACTTGCTGAAGTCTCAAATGTGTACAAGATTATAAATATGGATGCACCGATACAAGCATCGATATCGGCGGCGATACCGAGTATTTGCATGAGTACTCGTGCAAATACTCCGATACAAAAAACGAGTACCTGTGCCGCGTCCATCTTCAGGGACCCGAATCCACCACACACAGGACATCCATCGTGTCTTCAATGAAGCAAGATGGCCACAAACTCCAAGTCCTCAGTCATCTCCATTCTGACCTTCTCCTGCTGATTGGATGATTGACAGGCTTCCTCAATCGGCCAATCAGCAGGAGAAGAGGTCAGAATGGAGCAGATGTCACAGCCTAGTCATCTGCTCCATTCTGATCTCTTCTCCCGCTGATTGGATGATTGACAGGCTTCCTCACCAATCGGCCAATCAGCGGGAGAAGAGGTCAGAGCAGATGACTAGGCTGTGACACGGAGTGGCTGAAGCAGACTGAGAAGACGACACAGCAGGTTAGTACTGCTGCACCTCATGGGGCTGGGCACAAAAATGCTGTTTACCGGCATATATTTAAAAAAAGAAAATAACTATGTAGATATTGCTAACTAAGACTTGTATCCCCCTAGTGGTGAAAATAGATGAGCACATGTCTAGACTGCAGACCAGAACACAGTGTGGCACAGCTATATCCAATTCTGCATACCTGGCTTTATATTATAAGAAAATGTAATGAAATATTATTCAATGTCTTTTTTAAATATTATTAATGTTATAATATTAAAAGACATTGAATAATGAAATATTTATCATGCCATTGCTAACTAAGACTTGTATCCCCATAGTGGGGAAAATAGATGATCACGTGTCCAGACTCCAGAACACTGTATTATTGTATAGTGTGGCACAGCTGTATCCAATTCTGCATACCTGGCTTTATATTATAAAGTTCTTATAATATAAAGCCAGGTATGCAGAATTGGGTATAGCTGTGCCACACTACAGAGTGTTCATGTTCTTCATAAAAAGAAACTGACCTAAAATCATGATTTTGTATTGCTTTAGAAAAAATGTGACCTGTCCTTTTAAGAAAAAGTATCGGTAATTGGTATCGGCGAGTACTTGAAAAAAAGTATCGGTACTCGGCCTTAAAGTGGTATCGGTGCATCCCTAATTATAAATGTAGTTTTTCTCCCAATTATACAGTCTGTTGCAGTAAAAAAAAAAAAAAAGCTACACCCCTGCCTTCCATTTAGATGTGATTTACCTGAATCAAGGGTAGGTTTACATTGCGCTGTAAACATAAGAACACTACTTATGAGGTGATGATTCAATAAACAGACTGCCTGTATTTTTACTGCAAATTGAGAGCTGTGGTCACAACAGTAGGATACATTTTTGGGGGAGTTCTAGGGAATTGCCACCTACTATAGATTAACAATTCATAAGTTTGTTTTTTTTTTGCATTTCAAAGGACATGTAAACAGAGTACATTACCAAGGCTTGGCTGTCATGCTGATGCTTTCACAAGACGAGTGTTCTTGGCTTTCAAAGCAACTCGGTTTCAAGTTTCAGGTTAAAACTACATCGGTAGTTCTAACAGTAGTGATCTCACTGTAATTGTGATTGGAAAAAAATGCTTCAATTTTGTGGAATTGATTACCCACTTTGTGTAACGTACAACAATCAGGAGCTAGTTGACCATATTTTGAGATGAGTGTCAACTTGAATGAAAGCAGTATTTACATCAAGCTTTGAGCAGTTTTGAGACTATTAAAGCACCCTTCAACTAAAGTTTGGCAATGTAAAACCCATATAAAGGTGTTTACTTTAACTAGCTCCCAACTGCTTTGTAAAAGCTTGGTGTACACACTGTTTACATTGGCAAACAAACTGTAGTCAAGGCCAGAATAACCTTTTTGTACAAAGGTGGGCTGTCTACACTGTTACTGCTGATCCAGTAGTGTACCATTTTAACAAAGTGACCATCATTCCAGTAGAGGATGCTTTTCACCCCATCTTGGCTTTGACTTTACTTTTCCAGACCTTTGCTGATTGGTCAAAAGCGGACTTTACCACTGCTGCAGCTGATTGGACCAAAATAGCTACAGATTTAAAGTGAATTTCATATTTTGCAGTCAGATTTGAGAGAAGCCCTCTGTTCATGTCTTCATATTCACACAACCTCCTGAAAAATAACTAAAAATAAACATGTCTTTTTTTTTTTTTTGTTTTACGTTAAATCAGGCAAGATGGCTGGTTCCAAGGTTTTCTTAGCCCTTTCACAGTGGTCTGTCCTTTTTTATAGAAAGACTTGGAACTGAAATTGAGGCTTGTGTTTATCTGACAAGCTTTATATACAATGGGTAAGCACCCTTAGACTTGTTCTCTTGTGCTCTCCTCCATGAGTTTCCCCCAAGCTTGGCTTCCAGTATCCTCAAGGTCTGGGACC